TCAAGCATCCAAGAAATCTCAGTTCATTTCTCTAGCCTTTACATGTTCGTTTCTCTCGCCTTTACATGCTCACTGGTCAACACTTTGATATTACTTTCTACAATATAAACCCGACTCCAATATTTTCTCTCCTTGAGTATCACTCCTGCACCAAACATATTTCTCATTCTTTTGGATTATCTTGAGCATCGAAGCATGTATAATCACATTCTTTCCACCCTTTTATGTTTGAAAAGTCTCCAGTCTTGCACATCTAATGCGAGCTTTTCAAGTGCACAAGTGATACACAATTAGAGAGGAGTGCAAATAACATGTGTTGACGCGTTGAGTCCCAATTAGATTTGAAGGTCAACACAAGTCCATGTGAGTCATCCCTACTACCGTTGGGCATAAAGCATGATGGCTTATGAACATGAACAACCCGATGTATTTAGAGATCCCGACCCATAGATACATTAACTTGGTAGGAGTCCGCTAATGTAAAACAAAAAATATAAATAATATGGCTGACTCATAAGTCACTAGCAATCTTAGTTATAATATGATGATACAATATTTGTTAGAGCTAATATGCAAAGGACTATGAACGAGCAAGAAAATGATATAACATGTTTAAACTTTGTGTTCAGCACATTCTCTCCAATTCGTAAGTCAACTTCATTTCATTTAACGCGTGCAATAATTCTCATAGACGAGTGATTGCAAAATTCAAAAAAATTTGTGTCACACTGTCAGTCGACAGCATGGGATGGGCAGTGAACCTTCCATATCTTCCTCTTTTATTTCACTGAGCTGTAGCCTCTGTATTTCATGAGGTCCAACTGATGACCAAAATGGAGACATTATATTCACTAGTGTCCCATTGGGTTCCACCACACGTGCAATCTACCAATGCCGATACGACTACTCCTGTTCAGTGTACATACTTTCAAGAATAATTATATTCATCCCCACTGGGGTTGAGCCACAATCTATGTAACAATTACTTGACATTAAATGATAGATTCAATTAAATGAGTCATGTAACTTTGTATTTAAACGAACTTATCATTTAATGCCATGTAATTGTCATATAGATTGAGGCTCAACTCCAGCAAGGATGAATAGCATTACTCTACTTTCAAATAGTGTGTAATTTTTTGTTAGAAATCGTCGCATGGTTGTCACGTGCCTAATTTTATGAAGTTATATATTGTTTCACAACTTAAACTGATGATCATAAAAACGAAATAAACATGTTTGCACATGGTTTAAATGTCGATTAAACAGAGATTTAAATAATTTTTTGGGCCAAAATTAATTGCGTAACCATAATGAAAAGTTGAAGACGAATTTGCTCTTTGAACAATGTGTTGACTATTGACAATCCAATTTTCTCTACGAATAATATAAACCACAAGAAAGGTGGGGGACTAACATGTCGTGCTTTGATGCAGTGTCCACGTGAACTTCACAAGCCACCCCTTTAAAGTCCCCAACAATGACAATAACAGTACCCCCACACTTTCAACTCACATTTTCTATCGAATAAAGCAAGTGAAAAACATATCTTAAACGCATATATTGCATTTTCTACTGTATTTCCCCACACCTACCCCCTTAATAGTCTCCCACCCAACGCCCCCCCATATATGTACACACTAAATTTCATCGAAGCCACATTTCTACCGATCCATCTCAATTACTAGTCGAAAGCCACTCTTGTATCGAATTAATATCCAAAATCGCTATGATATCTCCATTGAGTGAATAATTCGCTGGGATAAATGAAAAATAGTTAAAACGTCTAAGAGACTGTTATGAAAATAAAATGAGACGTTTTATTAGTTTACTATTGTCATCTTAAACGCAACGCTTGTGAGATGCCTTTACAAAACCATTAAACGTACTAACAAGTATATTAAGAGTGACTTGATTGGAACAACTTCGTAACTTCAGTGACTATAGTGACAAATTTTGAAAATTTGATGACTAATAGACTTTTTAACTTAATCAAGAAGTCAAGGGCGTGCTTTTTGGTTTTGTTGGTATCATGATAATTAAGATGATTCAGTACTGTTTTTAGCATGATTTATGGGATTAATTGCTGCTAGAGTTCCATAAATATATAAAGATTTGTTCGGTCCCTCAAATACTTGTTTACCCATTTTCATAAATTTTTTATTTTATTTTATTTTTAATTACGGTCGTGGTCGATGGAATTTGTGTGGGGCCTACCTGGCGAAAATTCTCTAGAAAAATCCTCACTAATTTTATAAAACATATAAAAAGAATTGCAAATCAATAGCGACTAATTTTGCCGGTATATCATCAATCAAATAAATATTGCTACGGTGGTGAAACGATGAAACCACTCAACGATAAATACATTGGTGTAGAAATTTGTTACAAAAAATTGAAATCATATTCTAAATGCATGTTTTCTAATTGTATTTTGTTACTCTAGAAATTGGTCGGAAAAAAAAAATTGAGGAAGTCGTGTCTTTTTTTTTTTGGTCTCATGAATTTAAATTTAGTTTAGGGGCTAGAAGGAATGAGCTCGATATTTACAAGGACCAAATTAGAAATTTAATACACTTTATGGCGTGCAAAAGTGAGCAACTCATCATAAGTTGCTTGACAATAAGTTGTCGACATGTCGAAAATGTTTAAATATGAAACCTAGTCAAAAAAACTACACTTTTGCATAATGACAATTAAGTTGCATTCAACGGAAAATTAAGAAACACTAATCATCTTATTGTCATCCTAATTGAAACGTGTTAAGACAAGGTTTATCTACTAATAAAACCAATTAGATTAATTAAGGATCTTGAAATTGATTGCATATGTTTCATTTGCCTCTTTACATAGAAAAGGAATCTTAGTCCTTATGCCACTTTTTCAAACATGCTTATTCAAATTCAAATAAAAATATGACATGAAGTGACCGTGCCATCAATGTTTTGTGGATTTAAATATCACACGTAAAATTCGATCGATTGGTCAAAATAATAAGAAAACAAGGCATTGAATGGCTTTATTAATCATTGATACTCGATGTTATGTAATCGTTCAAATCTTTAATGATAGTACAATATTCGCGCCGTAAATAATAAAATATTTACATTTCATGTTCACACTATGATCTTGGATCTTGGAATCGCAGCCAACAAATGGTGCCAACCAAAGAAGGGTTTTCACACGCTATGAGTCTATTTACGATTGATTACATATTCAATTTTAACCGTTTATATATGAACGCACAAACTAATTAAAGGATTCTTTTAATTATTACCACGTCACGTTTATGCGGATTTTTTTAGAAAATCCTTATGGAATATGCTACTTGTACATAATGCGGTGTCCACCTCTCCCATGAAAAGGGACCCACTTCGAATATATTATATTTTATTCGAAGTGGGTCCCTCTCCATGTGAGGGATGGACACCGTTATGGATACGACATTATGTACATGTAGCATCACTCAAATCTTATAAATACTAGACAGATACTAAACAATACAACAAATAAAATTTTTTCAACTTCAATTTTTTGTAATCCTGTCTAATTTCATTCTTTTCAACTCACGAACGTTCCAAAAACTTTTGTATGTGTTCTAAAATAGCTCTAGATAGTAAGATTGGTACTGAGTTTTAAATAATTGTTTAATTTTCTAACATGATAATATCATTTGTTTAAGACTAATTTGTCTAATTGAAAATACTATTCAATTTCCCTACATTTCGAAACTGAATATTTTGTTCGAGTTGTTTAAGGTTTGTCTGTCAGTTACCTAACGTACAATGGTCATCAAATGAAACCTTTTTATTATTATAATTTAAGGTCTTTATGTTTCTCATCGTGCATCACAATATTAAAGTTAATTATTCTTACTTTTTTCCTATGTATTGCAAATGGCTGCAAAACGTGGTACAGGTGAATTATCTCACTAAAATTTAATTGTTTAGAGGTGCAAAACGTGGTACAGGTGAATTATCTCACTAAAATTTAATTTAAGACTTCGATATGTCGTGTGTCACTCGGATTTTTTTTAAAAAAAAATAAATAGCAAAGAGATTTAAAATCAAATTGAGCTTTCTTATACATTAAACACCCATATCCAACAATTTATTAAGAGAGTGTTTGGTGGGGATTAAAATTTGATTTTAAGCAGATTGTGATTGAAATTTTTGAAATGTCCGGTTGAAAAGTTGTGGGACCCATGAAAGATATGATTAATATTGATTGTTTGACTTTAACTTAAATTAAAATCCAATTTTAATCCGGACCAAACAGGGTCTAAGTGTTTACATAGATATTCAACAACGTTGGCTCCTATAATTCTTGAAAAGAGAGACTAATGACCTACTCAAGGGTTAGCACACAAATTTGAGGAAAACCGAAAACCCACTTTCGTTATAAACACAATGTCGCCAAGTTTATTATTCATCAAATGCCTTATAAAGTTTATGTAGCTCTTATAGAAAAGATGGATTTCGAGAGTAACTTTCATCTGTTAAATTATAACTAATAGCCGACCATCTTCTACTCACTAAAGTCGACTCTCTTTGTACACGTTAGAGGACTAAGGTCGAGTTAAGTGGAACACGTAGTGAGATAATTGTAACATCGGAGACAAAGAGACAAGGTGGGCTGAACGTTGAAAAGAAGGCGGGAAAAGCGGTCCTAAAACGTTAGCACACCGTGGAAAAGCGGTCCTAAAACGTTAGCACATCGTTTTTTCTCCGCTGTCCGAATCAGTGCACCCCTTTTGGCCGACCCAACTTCAATGCCGTCTATTAATTTTCTCCTTCTCATAGGACAATCCTCATTTTCCTCTCTTCCCCACAAATGAACACACACGACACTGTGTGTGTGTGTGTATATATATATATGCAGACCGAACAACCTCAAACTTCAAAGTAAATTAAGGTAATTAATTAACAAAAACCCTGCATATATTTCTGATCCTTTTTAGCTTAAGGTTTTTCTTCTTATTTTTTGCCGTAGTTAATTAGATGGAGCTCGAACTGGGTCTTGCACTTCCAAACCAGACTCCCATGAAAGCAGTTTCCAAACTAAAACAGAAGTGTAAATTTGCAGAAGCTGACGGAATTGAAAATAAGAAATTGTGTTTGCTTTTATGGAGTGGGCAGCCAAACGGGGAAGAAGATGATCGCAGGAGACTGACAAGTAGCACAGACAATAAGTAAGCTTTGATTTTGCTTATTTATTATTACATTCAAAACAAAATAGATGAATTACAACAGGTTATGGTCTTATAGATCCTTTTTCCATATATTCTAATTAACAATGATCAACTACTATGACAGGAAGTGTAATGATGAAGAAAATAAAATAGTGGGTTGGCCACCTATCAACTCACTGAGGAAAGAAATGCTCCACCAGTATCACGGTGGCAATAACAATGGAATAAGAAACAGGCAGAGCTTGTACGTGAAGGTGAAGATGGAGGGTGTTGCCATTGGACGCAAGATTGATTTAACGCTTTTTAATTCTTACCAACCCTTAAAACGCACCTTGTTCAACATGTTTAGCAAATGTAAGATTCTACCTCCAGTTTTCAATTTAGGAACTGTCTAAATTATAGCATTGGCGGCTAACAGTGTTCTATTTAAAAAGAATTGTCGTTTTCATTTTTTTTTGAGGTTTCCGCTGATAAATTCATCTGAAGAATATTAATTCAAGAAACTAATTATTTTGCTTGATTTTGTTCAATGCACAGACTTGAAAATCGACAGAAATTGCTCTGAATACACAATCTTTTATCAAGACAAAGAAGGAAACTGGCTGCTTGCAGGAGATGTTCCATGGGAGTAAGTACTTTTCGATTTCTCTTTTCTTTCCTTCTCAAGTTAATCCAAGAGTTTACGTTCTTAATTCACGCGTAGACTAGATTCGCTTTTATTATCAAAGAATTCACTTAAGAATAAAATTTATTTATCTATCTAATTTATTCTCATGTAATAATTTTGCAGAACATTTATGGAGTCTGTGCAACGTATGGAGATGCTAAGGAATGACAGTTAAAGGAGTCGAGGATATATTTGTTAAATTGAGTTGAGAGATAGTACCTAAGAAATATTTAGTGGTTTTCAGAGGGGCAGAAAATAGATATTCATAAATAAGTGGACTCGTTTGTTATTTCAAAATTTCATTGCAAGTTTGTATCTAAAATTTGATTTAATGAACTTAAAATGTTTCTTCTTTATAGAGATTGAGGATTGCATTATGTCTAAGAAGTTATTCTAAAGGGATAGACATAAATGATTTCTAAGACAAGTTGAATCAATAAAGTAATGGAAAAAAGGGAAATTTGCAGCCACTTCCCTGAACAATACCCTCTATATCACTAGGGTCCACAAATCATTTTAGTGCACGAAAGTAGGGGTGTCAAACGAGCCAAGCGACTCGTTGGCTCCTGATGACTTGGGCTCGTATCTGACAAACTCGAGCACGAACTTTGTCGAGTGCTTGTGAGGCTCGCCACGAGCCTAGGCTCATGGTTCGCCGAAAATAGTGACCAAAACGGTCACTTTTTAAAAAGTTACCGTTTTGTTCACTGTTAAAGTTTAGTGGTCGCTTTGGCTACTTTAATTTTTTTCCTTTTTTTTTTTACTCTATAAATATTTTAATCCGTTTCTAAATTTTTTCACACAACATTCCAACGACAATTCTCTCTCTCTTCCACGTTCTACAATCTACTACAATTATTTCTACCTTCAATTTGAATTATTTAATATCAATTATAACACTACAAATTTACAATTACAATCTTATACATAAAACTTATTTCTCTTCATATTCTTTATTTACTTACTTAGATACTTACTATATTATACAAATTACAATATATATTCTATACATTTCATCATAATTCACAAATGGATCCACACTCATCTGTTGAGGGTTTGTACGGTATCGCAGGTGAATCACCTATGACGCCACGAAGTCAATTTTGAAATGAATTTGTAGGTCTCAACGAAGTACCCATTCTCAAAAATATTCTAAAGTGGGATGGATGTTCACGGAAGTTGTAATCCAATTGATTTGGATGAAGTTGATATTCCCAAAGCAAAACGAGATGAACATTAATTAGATATTCCCGATGCAAGAGGGAAGCGAAATGGGAAAAATGGGAAAAATGTTGGGATCACTTTAAATTGATTCCAACCAATCGTGTGGTTGATGGAGTCACAAAGTTTAAAGCAATATTGTCAACAACTATTGACATGGCAAAAGGGTATTGGTATCACTCACCTCAACCGTTCACTACAAAACATGTGAGACCAAATATGAGGTTATTGCTGTCAATCAAATGTAACTTTAATTTGGTAGTCTAACCGTTAATTATGCTTCTAAGATACTTTTCGTGTAGATGTATTCGGAGGAGAAAGCACGAACATGAATGGTGAAGTTCGTTGTCGGTACTGAGTTGCCTCTAACAATAGTGGACAACCAATATTTCGTCTCTTACGTGAAAGAATACCTTCAATTGAGGTGCATTGGGGTAAGTAAAAATACTATTCGTTTTGATACAATGGAATATTTCTTTAATACAAAGAAACAATTAATTACCGATTTACAAAAATATGAGGGTGTTATATATTTAATTTCGAATTAATGGAAATGGATTAATAAAAAATGTTATATCGCTGTAATTACACACTGCATAAGCCTACTTTTGTGTATGCATTAAAAAAATTATTGTTTTTAAAATTATTAAGTCCCCTCACAACACTAACAATACATATAACGTTATTATGAGTATTATTAGAAAATATCATCGCGAGAGTAAAATTCGATCTTTTACACTTGACAACACTAGTGTTAATAAGACAGTTATCGATGAATTGTATAAGGTACTACAGTTCGATTTCGATGGTTATTTATTTCATATTTATTGTGTGTGTCGTATTTTTAATTTTGTTGTGTAGGATGGTTTGAAACATATTAAAAATGAAATTCAAAAAATTAGGAATGCACTAATATATATATCACGATTTCTCTTAATAGAAAACAAAGCATTTACAAAGTTTTGTACCGAATTTGGGGTGACTAATACGAAAACATTTGTTAGTGACGTAGAGTATAGATGGAACTCTACTTACTTATTATTAAAATCGTGCGAATGATTTGAACATTTCATAACTGGATTTTATAACAATAAGTATATTAGAAACGATGATGATTTTGAATGAATCTAATTGTTACAAATATTTTATTTGGAGTGTGCTATCTCCTTAGTTGTATGATACTTGAATGTCTTTATATAATTATAAGAGATTTTCATAAATATAAAAAATGACCCCAATTTTAGTGAAATTATATATATTCTATGAAATTAAAGTTTAGAAAATATTGAGAAGACTTGCCTATATTATTTCCTTTAACATGCATCATGAACTTTCGATACAATTTATCAGATATTAAATATGTAATTGATCAGATTTCAAGAGTTTTAACTTTTAATACACCTATCATTTAAAGAAATTTAGAACAAAATTTATGTGAAATGTAAGAATTATATGCAGAACGAATGTGTGCAAATATTAGTCGGGTACCCTTTGCACCTACTCCTCTCGCTAATATTGAAGAAGATGACACTTAAATATTAACTTTATTCGAAGGCATTAATACGTATAGATATGATGCAAATGCAATAGGTTCTTCTAGTAGTAGTTTGTCTACCGCATCTAATCAAACATTGGACGCAAGTCCAAATCATTACCTCTTGAATTAATTGATTACTTTAATCATAATATGCCTAATAACAAAACAATTAAAAAAAAGATCAAAAGAAGTGATTGAATTTTGACGAAAGTACGAACGACAATGACCAGTGGTTTCTGCGATTGCAAAAGACCTATTAACACTTCCAGTTAATACTGTAGTTTCAGAGTCTGCTTTTAGTGTATGTAAGAGGGTTTTGTCTGAGGATAGGAGCCAACTAAAATAAGATATTTTGGAAACATTAATATACGTGAATGATTGACAAGACACTCATTTTCGGCTGCAAGATAAATATGCCGAAATTACATGTCTTCATGTAAGTGATATTTAATTTAACCATATTAATCAAAATTTGTTATTTTATAATGTTGTTTTTAATTTTTCTTAAAAAATTGTATACGTAACAAGTTGTTCACGTACAATTTTTAATTCAGCCTACTCAAAATTTAAGTAGTCGATCCCAATCTTGAATAAAGAAGGAAAGTTTATCTATTTATAAAAAAATGAAAATTAAACGAGCTTGCAAGCCGAAGCTCGACTTAGCCCACGAGCCACAATCTTGAGGGTTGGGCCGAACTCGCCTCTTGAGTAATTATGCTCGACTCGTTATAAACTAGCCACGAACTCAACTAGTGACGAGCACGATCCGAGCTCGTGGACATTAGGGCCAAGTTGAGCCCACCACTAGTACTTGTTCTACAAAGGTCTCACAAATATGTTGTTGTCATTTGATACTACCAAAATGAGGCTTAAAATTTTATCGTTGTTGTTAAAAAAACAAACAATTTGGATAGATTGAAAGGAGAGGAAAAATAAAGACAGATGATTGATGTAATTTGAACAGAATTGCTTTGACAATTATTTTTCGTTTATGATATTTAGGTAGATATATATGTAGATAATTATTGGTTGCTATGTACACGTGGATCAATATTGCACATTCTTAATACTAAGAATTGCTGTTTTGCTACATACACGTGGATGATAAACTATTTTTTACGCTTATTATGTCATTTAGGTATTTTTTATGTAGGGAAAATTGTTGATAATGTATTTGTGATAGCAAGTCATAGTTACACAACAGCAAGTCACTTTCAACACATTATAGGTAAAAAAAATAGCTACAATTAACACAAACTTGGTCACAATTAACACATACCTAATCACATAGAGTTACAATTAACACATAACAAATTGCAAAAAGTCATTGTTGACAGATTAGGTCACAAGCAGTCAATGTTAACAAAATCCTAATCACATATAGTCACAATTAAAGGATATTTGATCACATACAGTCATAATTAAGATATATATGATCACATGCAATCAATATTTACACAGACTAGGTCATAAACAATAGCAGCTTACATAGACTTGGTCACAAACATGAACATCTTACACAGACCTGTCACAAATAGTTATCGTTAACACGGACCTGATCATAAACAACACATAAAACACATTCAATGGGTTAAAGTCATGCTGAGATTTTATGAAATACAGAACATGTTCATAACTTATAAATTTTATGTCGCAAGATAAATTTAAAATTTCAAATCAATAGTACACTTTTTTTTAATAATCTTTCAATTCAACAAATTCAATAATACACAATTTGTGTATAAAAGAAAAAAATAGCTACAATTAACACAAACTTGGTCATAATTAACACATACCTAATCACATAGAGTTACAATTAACACACAACAGATTGCAAAAAGTCATTGTTGACAGATTAGGTCACAAGCAGTCAATGTTAACAAAATCCTAATCACATA